ACACCACACACACACACACACACACACACACATTCTGTCTCCTGCTTGCTCTTTCTCCCCTCCCTCTCTCTGTCTGTCTCTCTTTCTCTCTCTCACACACACACACACACACACACACAGAGACACAGACACACACACACACACACACACACACACACACACACACACACACACACACACACACACACACACACACACACACACCACACACACACACACACACACACACACACACACATGCGCAAACACACAGAAACTCTTTCCTGCCCTCTCTCCCCTTCTCTTTTTTCATCTCTCTCAGTCACACATACACCCACGTGCACACGAATGCGCAAGCACACAGACACATGCGCACAAGCACACACAAACACCCATTTTCTCTCTGAGACTCTCTCACCCTGTAACACACATGCATATTTTCTCTCTTGCTCGCTACACACTCTCTCTCTTTTTCGGTGACACACACACACACACACACACACACACACACACACACACACACACACACACACACACACACACACACACACACACACACACACACACACACACACACACACACACCACACACACACACACACACACACACACACACACACACACACACACACACACACACACACCTCCCCCCTCTTCCACAGGCATCCTGGCTGCCACTCCTTCCCTAACAACCACACACACAAACGAAAAGATGCACACACACACTCACTCACACACACACCACACACAAACACACACACATAAACAAACACGCACACAGACACACACCCTTTTAAACACACACCCCAACCCTTTCGCTCAAACACACATCCTGTCTTTGCTTACAGTTAAACATAGACACACACACACACACACACACACACACACACACACACACACACACACACACACACACACACACACACACACACACACACACACACACACACACACACACACACATTATAATAACACTGCTAATATTCAAACACATTTTTCTCACATCATTTTTTCATGCACCAAATAATCCAGTATTTACGCACACTAATCATCACCAACAGTTGTGAGACAACCTGTTTTTAAGTCACACATATACAAGAGACAACTCGAGTTAAAGCCAAGATCAATTTATTTCAACTCAAGAATCAAGACAATAATAAATACGTAGAGACACCACACCAAAGTTAAAGAAAAACAATAAAGACTGTACATTATTTTGATTATATACCCACAATGCATCATGGTATTATTGTGTTCTTAAATAAAAAACAATCATTGAGCTGGTTGACCTTGTATTAATATTGTTTAAATATACCTGCTCCATTGCTGGTCTATGCCTATAACGTTGTAAGCCCCTTTTAGACAAAAAAAAATCATTTGTGATGTGTACATTATCTGCCAATTTTAAGGGCATTGTTTTTTGTTTGAAGGTAACATTTCTGTGAATTGTTTTGAAGTTTTCATCCATTTCTTTATTGATTCCTGATAAAAAAATGTTATTTTCTCTTAAAGTAGTCCTACAAAGGTTTTTTACCATCATCGCAGCTTCATTGTCATCTCAGAGACTGAACCGATGTAAAATGTCTGCTTAATGACATTTGAACATGAGAACAAATATGCGCTTTAAGGCCAGAACGCAGCATCCAGGGTGAGGGTGGCAGACAACATTTCGGATGGATCGGACAATTTGAAGTTGGTTCTAGAATAGTTTTAACATGAGATGGGACGTCTCTACTCAACTCAATTCGCCTTTTTTTGATTTTCCATTGGAAAAAGTTGTGGATGGTACTAGGCAACACCTCATTACAGCTCACTTCACAGAGTGTAGACATTAATCTGGTTGGTTTTTGATTAAATAATTCAGCCAATGTTGCATTAAAATGATCTCAGACATTTAACGAGGTGTCGCTATGACAAATAGTTAACAATCCTGCCTACATTACAGGGTAGAAAACGTAGAAAACGAAATAGAGAAAAGGACCAGGTAACAAGAGTGAGTTGAGTCGAGCCAAATTAGGCATTAGAGCGCTGTGATTTGAGCGTGGACTACATTTGTAGTAGTAGCATTGCTCTATCCATCCTTATGTGTCCTGTAATGTGTGAATTAAGTTGAAGTTAAACTTTTCCACAGGCCTTAGAAAAGTCAGAAAGATAGCTATATTACAGATTACTTGCCTGAAAGGGGCTTTACTTGAAAACCTCTAGAAAAAAATGGTTTTCATTCCAAAAGACAGATTACATTTGTCACACCAAGGATGATTTTGGACTACACTGATGTAGGGAAATACAAAACAAAAATGTCTGCCCAAAGATTAAATCTAGCTCTCGTGTCTGGTCTCTTGTGTCAACATTTTATCCAGGGCAAAAAGTATTTCCAGGAAGACAATAGTTGCACAGATAAAGCCACGTTTGCAGAATGAGGATTATTGCTGCTTGACTATAAACTCCAATGATAGACAGCAAAAGAGAACAAAAAGAAATGAGACAAACTGTTGATCATACAGTCTTTAACATTTAAAAATCCCACCACTGTTGTGACAACTCTCACGAGTGTGGCAGTTTCCTACAGTATGATCACTGCTTATAGACAGATGCGATGGGAACCTAATCCTCTCTTTGTGCTTTGCGCCATTTGTCTACAGCGAACTCTCTGCAATAGGGTCAAAAGAGAGGTCCCCTAGTGGTGCAGCAAACTACACTCGTAGAGAAGACACAAACAGTAAACATGTAAACGACTTGGGAAATAAATCAATAAATACCACAAACTTAAATAAAACATTTTATTTTTCCAGGAATGTAACCCCCATACTGTAAATCCTGTCATCTAAAGGAAGAGGACTGACTTAAAAATGATTGTCTTGTGTATGTCAATCACTGATTGAGAGATCATGTGTGTGGTTCAAACTGAAAAACGGAGGGTTGAAATATGAAGCTATCGGAACCTGTAAGCACTCAGTTTCCCAGTAAAGCTACTGCACAGGCTCCGAGGCTGCATTCAAACCAACAATAGCACTGCGTCAAAGATATGCAGCCTCATTCATGTCAGTGAGACCAATATGTTGGTCCGGTAGTCCCAGTCTTAGTGGAATACTTTGTAACAAGTATTGCCAAAATCTTCAATTTATTTCTCAGTTGTGTAAACAAGAATAAAAAAGGTTCCGACATGAAAACTTTCCAAGGTTAAATGCGGCCACATACTATATGAAGTATTTTATTGTCTTGAAACCTTGACATTTATAAATGTGTAATTCAAACTGAACTCCCACGATTCAATAAGGTCAGACTGAAGCACTCCTTTTGTGCATCAGTCAATCCTCACAGTAAATACAGAGCTAAATCCCAGATCAAATGCACGCTGAAGGCTCTTTGAGCAGCTTTTCTCTCACTGATTGTGCTGTTATGTTAAATGTTTGTTGTTTGTGTTTCATGTACTTGTGTCTGGATATTTGTCTGTTGATGTTGGACATGGAGTTGCTGTGACGCAAGTCAAATTTCAGACTTGATCTGACAAATAAAGTAATATCGTATCGTATCGTATCGTAACTCCATTTTTCATATTTCATCTTCTCTTATAGCACATATAGCTTCATGCTTGCATTTGTTTTCATTCGTTTTTGGTCAAATGTGGTCTAATAACTCTTCTCTTTGACTATTCCTGGTCTGGGTCCAAACAAAACTCAAAACAGAGAATAGAGCTAGAAAAATAAAACAAAAGTTTTATAAGATTGATGTGCTGTGTGGAACAAAGATAGCTCATCATCTGAGCAGACGAAAAGGAGGAAATATAGTACATCGCAAACCCATACACAGAACATCAATGCAATATATGAGACAATTCATTTACAGTATATCACATTAAAAGTGCTGCATCTGTGGTATTTAGGATGCCTTTGTGCTGTAGGAAGTCTTGTCATTCTTCATTTAATGCAAAATATGAACAGTAGCTCTTAGTTTCTTAGGGTTTACATATCATCCTTAAAATGAATCAAGGCAACTCAGGTCAAACCACAGAAAGCATTCAGGTTGCTTTCCAGTAATAACATTCAGTTTCCAGAACCCTGAAAACAGTTTGGAGTACCCTTTATCAATCTCACAAAGATCTGTTTGTACTCCCAGTGCATTTACCAACAATGTATCAGCCTGTAACCTAGGAAATACATGCATGTGACAAGGCACAACCAAAAATACACTAAATTATTTCAAATCTGAAGCTAGTAGTAGTAGTAGTAGATAACTAACTAGCATCCTGAAGACCATCTTTTGTAATAATTTCTCTGTTAGGTCATCACAATTTACCAGGTTACAACAAGTTAACTTAACAACTATGCATTTTTAATAACACTGCTTCAACTGCCCAGTAGATAGATACGGGATTATTTGTTATATTAACTATGAGCAGACTGAATTCAGAGTGGCCCATTAAAGATGTAATACATTGTTAATATAGACTGTTGTAATACAGAACATAATGTGTATGTGGCTCTTGCTGGGCTTTTAATCCTAACATGGAGATAAACATAATGTAACAGTGAAAATTGGCCTTTTCCATTTCACTATATGCATCAATCTGTATCACAAATGAACAAAAGTAGTCTAAGATTTTCATGAAAATGTTCACTTAAAGGGGACCTATCATGCAAAATGCACTTTTGTACGTCTTTTATACATGAATATGTGTCCCCGGTGTTCCAGGGAACTCACCAAGTGTCAGAAAACACAACCCTCTCTATTTTCCTCCATACCCAAATCTCTAAAAAAGGGGCTGCAACGGATCTGATAAAAACTGATCCAGATTTGAACACTGTCCTGACGTCAGGACAGTGGCGCTACGGCTATTGGGCCAACTCCACCAATCAGGAGGAGACAGCCACGGCCATTGCTGTTCGAAAGCGCTGGAGACGCTGTAGTACATATGCCAGGCCAGTAGATGGTGCTGTTCTCACTGAATCTGCCCTTGCCAAAACAGAGCTAAAAATTGTCAAATTGAGCAAAATGAGGCATGGCTAAAATGCATGATCTGTTTGGTATTTTGAAAAAAAAAAAGTATAAATATGCCTTATATAGGTATGGTCCTACACTATATTATTCAAATATAGCATGATAGGTCCACTTTAAGTTGGCAGACTGCTACTATTGAAGTTGAATTTCTTCCACACTGCCTGCTTATGTGCCCATTTGCATGTCTATCAGTTTTGACTACTGATGTTGCATATCAATTGTTGCTTCCTAAAGTCTGTGACATAGCTTCAGTAAGTGCCATAAAAACATGATAAAACTAAAAGAACATATAATAACTTGACATAAGTATTACTGAGGTCAATCAAGAAAGAAAGACTGTATCAATGTAAACACCAGAGGGTGCTGTTGGACACATTTCCCCCCTTCATGCACTGAACATCCCCAGATAATAACTTATGTGGAATGATTTATAGCCTTTAAAACTACACAAATCAGAGCTACAGTCTAGCCACGGCATGAATTCAAATGTTCTCATTATGATCTGAATGTGCCCCTTGCTCACTGTTTACTCTGTCAGCTGTAGTGAATCCTGGCCAGTATATTTATATAAAAAAAACTTCTGCAGTATCAAAGGAAGGCATGTACAGTATGTCGATGAAAAAATATTTCTATGCTTTTTGAGTTGCTGTTAATAAAATAAAATGTTCTTTCTCAATACCAAAACGAGAGAAAGAAAAAAGAAAGAAAGCTTTGTTCTTAACTCTGAATTGAATCTTATTTTTGGATTTCCCCTAACAAAGTAATCAATAAATAGAAGAAGTACAGACTCTGCATTACTTGTATCATAATTGTTGTTATCAGCTATGATAACAAGGTTTTTGACACTTGCTCCCACTCTGTCCCATGCATCTGTTCATGTGAAGGTAGTCTCATGATCTATAAATACCCATCCCGCTCATCTCCCTGTAGGGATCTGTGTCTCACTCAGCTGGACATTTTCATATAAATACACCTTTCTCACTTTGGACCGAGGCTGAACCCCTTTCTTTATCTTGTTATTCCTACACTCACCTTTTTCTCTCTGTCCCTATTCTCTTATTTGTCCTCTTCGCTCTCACACACTCCTGATGTCTATCTCCGAGTGCTTCTTGTGGTCCTGACTCTCGAGGGCATCACTCGCTCCTTGGCTATCACCGAGGGCAGGGCTTCCAAGGTGGTGATGGCGGTCTTGGTCCAGTAGTCCACCTCTTTGAAGATCCGGTACACCCAAAGCTTCAGCTCAAACAGCACGGTGGGACCGTCTAACTGCCAACACAATGGGGAGACATCACAAAGCTCTGCCTTAGTTTTTCTCTCCATCACTCTCACCATCACCACCAGTGGACATCAGCACCTACCTCTAATCCCTCCAAGCTGGGCGTCAGGAGCGCCGTGCCACCAGCAGTTTTGAGAAGTTCTCCGGTGCAGATCAAGAGATACGACAACCTGTCCTTCACCATCTTCCTCTGGGTCTCATAGTCACCCTTCTTCCCGCCGCCCAGCTCCTCCTCCTCTCTGGCGATGGCTCTCTCCAGCAGGCTGCGGCACTGCATCAGAGCTGAGTGGAGACGCCAGAGCTTGTCCCTGGTGGCCAGCTGCGAGGAAGGAGGAGCGACGGACACCAGGCGACCATCAACCAAAACATCAGCAGTGAAACTCTCCTTCTCTCTCTAGGGGGGAGAAAGACAACAGGGTGGGGGAAATTAAAAACAGAAGGGAGATTTTTGGCAGGCATAGATACTGTAAAAGGGAAGAAAAGAGGGAGTTAGGAAGTCAAGTGCTTAAGTGGAAGATTGAATAAGTACTAACATCACACTGACGTCATTTTTGACAGCCCTTTGGAAGAAATATTGAGCATAATTGTCTAGGAGGAAACAGGGATTTACTTCTGATGCAATAGGAATTAATCCGGCCTAAATCTTTTTGCTTCAAGGACAATATAGCAAACTCAGGAAAGATTGTTTCTTTAATAATGAGTGTATGCTCTGCCCAGTTCCAAGTATATCATTAAGTCAGAAGTAAACGTTTTAAACAAGGTGCAAGTTAAAAATAACACTGAGGCAAAGAAAAAAACAGAACTGCCTGTAAAAGTCATCATCTTAATTACAACATCTTCAAAAACACATTAAAGGGCTTGTTCAACATTTTGGGAAATACACATTTTGATGGGAGTGGTATCAATCTTCTTATCTCTCTCTGCAAGTAGGCAAATAGAACTTTTGCAAAACCATTCACTTTACAACCAGTCAACCAGTTTAATAATCAATGAATAATGTAATTATTTTAAGCAATAATGTCAGAAAATGATGCTTATATTACTTTTTACAGCATATTAATTTCCATTTGGGTTTTGAACTAACTAAACAAGATTTAAAAGACTTTAAGAAAATGGGACAAAATTGTTTTAACTATTTTCTGAAATGTACGGTACATCCACATTTGACAGACAGCATATAACAAGATAGCGTTGCTGTACTCTCAGAGCTTACTTATGATCGGGCTGATTATGTTGACTAGCCACTTCTCAGAGATGACTGTAGCTGGTATCGACTCTGGTACTTAAGTGAGTTGTGAATCCCAGAGGCCTCCTTGTGACATTTTACTGAGGCGCTAATGTTGAACCCTGCTTGCAAGTTAGTACCAGTGTGACAGATTGGCCTAATGTGACCTGTGCGCTTCGAGAGTCTGGGGAATGTTTTACTGCTTCTGTGTTAATGTTTACTGCTCAGACTGAAGAGGCAATGTGATGAGGGCAGTTATGGATACCCCGGGAAGAAATACTGTAGTAAGAGACAATATTGTCATAGATCACTGTAAATTATGGTGATCAGGTGGTAAATTATTTAGGGTAGGACAATGGGATGTCGCAAAAGTGTGTTTTTTCTTCCCCCAATGAATACGCAATAGATGCTGCAATGGATTAATGTGCCAACAACTGCAATTTCTCACAGCCAAAGAGGAAAACCACAGAAGAGAAATGTACATAAATGATTGTATGACATGCTAAGACTTATCAAATCATGTCATGATGGGTTCACTGGAATGCATCTGTTGCTGGAGCTTAATGCCTGCAATATCAGTGATGCAAACTGAGAATGAAAGAAGAAATGGAAGATAGATTGAAGAAAGGAAAATTCTTTGGAATGAAGTTATATGTCATGCCATGTTATATGCAGGCCGCTCCCTAGCTCCAAGCAACGCTCATGAATAAAAGGATGAGGAAACCAGGAAGTTTTAAAAACCCATAGTTCTCACACCTATAGTCAAAGAGACGCACGAGATAAAGGCTTCATGCCCAGGCATGGATGAGTTTGTGCCATAAAAACGCCCACCTGTCATTCCAACGGAGTTAAGCCCCCTCCACTCATTCTTACCGCCTGCTGTCCTGGACATACATTCTTTGTCTTTCACACACACATGCACAAACTCCCTTCCTCTTATCTAGTTTTTGCATGCATCCTTTTTAATCATTCTTTATCCATATACTTCTCCAAAAACAGTCAAATGCACACAAAAAGTAACAGGCACACACAGAACATATATTAATTTTCCATTTAACCTTGGCCTACTTCTTTCTACCTTAAAAACACACACACACACACACACACACACACACACACACACACACACACACACACACACACACACACACACACACACACACACACACACACACACACACACACACACACACACACACACACACACACACACACACACACACACACACACACACACACACACACACACACACACACACACACACACACACACACTTGCAAGTAGGCAATGGAAACTTAGGGCTCCTGTCTCTACTCACATAAAGTTCCAGTAAGATGGAGCACTCATATCGCAGCTGCTCGGCTATACTGGCGGCCCGGGCCACGGTGCTCCTGCTCACATCCGGCCCGGTCGTACCTCTCGTCCTTCTGGCTGCCATGGGACCTCCAGCTGCCTCTACCCGGTAGACTCAACAAACGCACACTTGTAGCAGGAAAGCAACAGGCTCCCTATTATACGCCCACGTACGCCTGCCTCATTCCCGGTCACCGTCACGCTCTCCGGACTCCGGTCAGTGCCGCGTTCATAAGAACCAGAGCCGATTCACAGCTCCTCTTAGGTTTCGGTAAAACGAGTTTCCCAGTTTGTGTGCACTGCTCACTGTTTGTTACTTATGTTACAGAGATAGCGGCCAACTCTCCGCCCTTTCCTCCGGGAACCTGATGCCAGGCAGGAGGAATTTAACGGGACGAGCGGGGGCGGAGAGCCGCGGAGGGGGGGAGCCCATTCACTTATTCATGAGAAGCTTATCTGATTTACCGGTAGCCACATTTAGGAAGGAAGGATAGGCTTATTGCTTGGACCATCTTTGTTCGTTATTGGAAAAAGTATTACAAGATCACAGCATGTCCCTATAACTATAATATTAGAAATAACGTTGATCATTTATTTTTTATTTTGAAGAAGGCTACTTCTACCTATAGGCTACTTGAGTAAGATTACACTGTTTTGTGTTGTGTGTGCTTCAGTTAATAAAATATGATTTTTAATCTTAACAAAAGTGTATAGGCCTACGCACAATAACAAGTAAGTGTATTCTGCAAGAGGCACTCACTTCGCGTACCGACTGAGACAAATAATGTGTATTATATGAAGTAGGCCTACTATGAAGTAGGCCTACTTCAGTATTTTCATTCGAGGTAGATGACTCTCATCCGGAATACTGGTTCAACAACTGGTCTTTACATCTATTCACTTTTTTGTATTTAAAAAAGCTTCAGCTAAATGTAATAATATAGGCTACGCTACTTAATAAATGTATACTCTGTTTTTCTTTAGCATTTATGATAACATGGTTAAGTTTACGAATAATATTTAGGAATACAAAATCCCTCTTTGCAATGTTTACCAGCCATTTTAGTAATTCAACTGGAAACTATACAATATTGATAACATGAAACATTTTATTGTTCATTGTTAAGGGTTATTGTTAAAGCTTTTCTCATTGAACCCAGTATAAGAAATAACTGTTGAATGGTTGAATGTCATATGTGCCTGTTTTACTCTTTTTACCAACAGGGGGGTTGTGTTCAAATGAAGCCTCGTGAGATGAACCCTTTTGCGAACCTTGATCTCGCCATAGGACGCTCAGAATCTCTCAAAACATGAAAACTCACAAATATAATAAAGGAAATGAAAACATAAAAAGTCCTGTACCTTTGTGTGTGTTTCTTTCTTAGAGCAGCACTCAGAACATTGTTGTCCCCATTCACAAAAAAAAGGTTGTTATGTTATTAAATCGTAATTGTTATTTACATTTTTTTTTTTTGCAAAACATTTTTTAATTCAATATTTTGTCTATGTATCTATCTAATATGTTTCATATAAAAAATGTTTTTAAAAACAATTAATTTAATTCTTATTTTTATCAGTTTTAGTAAAACTTTTTTGTTCATATTACATTTCGTTAATAGTTGGGCTTTCAATGTTTAAAACACATTTGTGGTCCAGAGGTCTAAATATTGGTTTTTCATGCAGGTGTTTGAGGTTCAACACCCAATGGACGGACAAATTGTGTCTTCTGCTATGCTGATGTTAACCCTGCTCTGAACCCTTTGTCTTCAGTGTCTGCACCTGGCCTTGCTGCTTTCTATTGCAAGCTCAAACTTTCTTGCTATGACTTTTCCCTTCGTTCCTTTCCAACCCATCAAAACTTGGGATTGGTGATTTTGTCTATTTATTCCAAAGTCAAGCACAATAAGCAAATAATGTAATAATAAGAATCAGTCTTATAATGTTATATAAAAATAGACTCCACAGTTACAAAGTTGACTAGATCATCCAAAATTCAATGAAAGTGGTGATCAGCAATTGTATATGTTCAAATGTCTACTGTGAAGGATATCATAAAGCCTTAACCCTCTATGGCATGACTATTTATTTTGGGAGTAAAAAAATGTTTCACCATGTGTTTTATGAGCTTAGGGGTCCCTGATATATCAATTATCAAATGTGACCCCCCCACACCCCTCAACCAGGGGTTGGTTTGTTGCCTCAACAATGTGCTACGAGGGTATTGAAACACCAAGGATTTTTACAATTCAGAAGAAATAGAAAAAACAACTCTATATGAATTCAAAATGTTTTCTTTGCGTGTGTGTGTGTGTGTGTGTGTGTGTGTGTGTGTGTGTGTGTGTGTGTGTGTGTGTGTGTGTGTGTGTGTGCGCGTGTCTGTCTGTGTATGTATGTGTGTGTATGTCTTTGTGTGTGTGTGTGTGTGTGTGTGTGTGTGTGTGTGTGTATGTGTGTGTGTCTATGTGTGTGTGTCTGTGTGCCTAACCCTATCTTGACCTTCACTGTCAGACGGAATAGCCCTAACAGCCTGATCGTGTCCCTTCTGCCCATAACATGTTTTGATGTCCATTTCCTGTAAATATCAGTAGATGGTAAAGTAAAAACATTGACTAGGTTTATCATTTTACAGCTGAGCACATTTACACACTTGCATGATATTGCCTGGAAAAAAGTGGTCTAAGTGGCACAGTGTTGCCCTGAGGCAACAAACAAAAAAATATAGTTTTAGCTAATTAATAAATACATAATAAGTCTTTAAACAATCAAATATACTTCTTTACGTATTCATGCACATGCATATATTTTTTATTTTAAGTTGTGTACATTTCTAATATGTTAAAAAGTGAAATGTATCTTAACAAGTGTGGTGGCCCTGAGTCCCCTGCAGCTTTGCTTGCTTGCAGAAAGGACTGCTCCACCCCCAGACAAAATGCCACACCCATATAATTCCCTCATTTTATTGGACACCAGCATGTCAGGTGACATTGTGTATATTTAAAAAAATCAAAATATTTAGAGGGCCAGTGTGAGGTCGAAAAAAGTGGTGTGTTGCCTGAGGGCAACCGTATGCCATAGAGGGTTTTAATGCAATCAAAAAAGTTATGATTGATGAAAGTAGTAAATCGGTCAGATTTGACCCGAACACAACAGGAGGGTTAAATCTGAAGAAATTGTCCCCACCTCTTTTTCTAACAAAGTGTATGAAGTTAAATGCAGGGCAATACAGCAAAGATAAGACTGAGGCCTGCAATAGATTTACATGTGAATTTAAATAAAGAAACATAAAAAACACTGGCAACATAACTCTCTGGGGAAATCTCAACCTGGACTTTGTCAATACACTGACTTATTTAAAACTATTTGTGACGAATTCAAGATAAAAAGGGAACAATACTGAGATTGACAAAGAGTGATGTGTTTGGTGGTCTGATAATGGATTTCTAGATGCAGTACCGCGCCTGCGCAGAAGGTGTCAGTGTAGGCAGCCGGAATGTAAACACCGAGCAGCGGCTAAATGACCGCAGCTAACGTCAGACCCTAAAACTGCATCTTTAATATAAAGAGGAAACAGGAATGATAAACTATTTCCACGCTGTAGAGTGTTTGTTTGATTCAGCCGTTTATTGTGAGATTCTAGCTATCAAGCAACAGTATTAGCGTGCTTACATTTTGAGACCAAGCTATCCAGCTAGCTAGCTTAGCCTCGGTTGATCGTTAAGTCATGAACTCTCTGGTTGGCTACGGAGTGTCCTCGGAGTCTGACAGCGAGGGAGAGGAGGACGTAAACAACGGTGCAGTAGGGTAAGTGTTTACTTACTTTACACATAATGTCAGACACTTGTAAAGGCTAGCTTTTTGTTAACGCCTCTGTCTCTCTCTGCTGCACATTTTAAATCCTGAAGGTCCGTAAAGAAGCTGTGTGATGAAGCATCCAGTGGCAGAAAAACCCGCAACTTCATGCTGGAGTCTGGATCAGCTTCCAGTGAATCAGAACCAGAGGAAGACTATCCTTCTTCATCACCACACCCCCAGAAACCTGCACCTCCTCCAGCCTGCCATCCCAGCCTGCCTGCTCCTTCCCTGGACTCCATCACCTCCAATAAGCTCCCTCCTCCTTCTCTGCACACCTGCTCTGGTAGCAGTGTGTTCACCAACCCTTTCAAGGCTCAGGCCGACCAGAAGCTCAGCGCCTTGCAGAAACATGTCCCCCTCACAATGCAGGCCAAACCCTCCCAGATAGGAGGCAAAAGGATGTGTGTGGCATACAGGAAAAATGGAAGGTGCAGGTTTGGGATCAAATGCAAGTTTGCTCATGACAGTGACCTCCAGTCTCTCACTGATTTACCTGTGAGTGAAGAGACGCCGGATCAAGAAGAGGCCCTCGCAAGTGGCTCAGGATCCCAGAAGGAGACAAAAGAGGAAGAGTCAGCAGGCCAGCAGGGGAAGAAGAGGAGGGTTGGACTGAGCAACACCTTGATTCCTCCTAAACGAGCTATGAAGCAGTACGCCATACAGAGGAACAGAGAGCAGCTCCATATGTCGTGATGGAGGTTTTCGGAGCTGGGCTGACATAAAAGCAATAATACTGGGATTAAATATATTTTCGAAGTGTGTATATGTTGTAGGAATTGTGCACTATCTATTTCTAGGACCCATTAATGACTCAGGCATGCATTTACATTCAGTGGTGGTTACTACTTGCATTCAATATTTACAAATGATAAAGTCCACAAATAAATAATTGAAATAATTAGCTGCAACATCAAAGTGGTGAACACAAAATGTATCAATAGTTGTATACCAGTAATATTACATATATTGTTATAAAATTGGGCCTTCAGAGTACTTGTCCTTTTGGTTCTTAAGTATATTTTATTGCTTATCATTTTGTACTTTTACTGATCTAACATTTAAATGCAGGACTCCTTAATTATGTTCTTAAACTCTCATTGAATACACTTTGGATAAATGTTAAGACATTTATTTACAACTTATAAATGAACATTGTTTGTTTGCTCTACCACACATCCTATATCACTCAGCAGAGAGGTGCAGATTTAGTATGAACATATGCTCCAAGGTTTCTACATAGCCTTGTTTTTTTTAATAACATTACACTTGAAAAGGTAATTGACAAAAACATATTTTTAATTGTCTAATTCAGTGACTGTGCTTGCTGTTATTTCATGTGAGGGTTACAATATGCAAGGTCACCCTCTGGCTTACTATATGTGAGTAGTACATACATAATATGGGTTATTATTCCTTCAATGTCTACAGCCAAGCTTAAACAGCTGCCAGTGAAACGGGTTTACACTGCCATAAAGCTAAATAATGCATATTTTGTGACTGACAAGACTGTAAAACATATTTTGTCCATTCCTTTTCAGGTTTTGAAATGTTTATCTTTGTCAGATAGTTTTGTTATTTTTTCGTTCAACCTCGCCAAATAAAGGCTTTACAGTGAAAAATGAAAAAAATAGCTGCCTATTCATTTGAAAGGTTTTCTCACCCCACACATACTGGGGTCTGTTTATAGCTTCTAATGTGTGTTTTGTGTTAATTAATAATAATATAAATAGTTTAATTACTCCAGTAGGAACCTGGATGCCACACACTAGTTGTGTGCTCTAAGTTACTAAGAGGTATGCTATATTATTGCATAATAGCAACGGCTTTGCAACATAACCTCAGCATCATTACACACACTCGCATAAAAGGCTAGTTCAGTTGACAGGACTTATGTACAAAGGCAACAACTTACACGTACAGACACAAACATATCTTTTCCCTGAAACAGTTATTCTAAAAAGCTAACAAATATGACTATAAGTGAACAGTCCATAATATATTGGTGATCCTACATTTACCTTAAACATTGCAATACAGTGTATCAGGTCACTGGTGACAGTCTGCCTCTATTTTCTGTTTTCTGTGCACTATTGTTGTTTTACATGATGATCTGTTGGATCTCCCCATCCCCCGTCTGCCCCCAGACCACACTGTCCTCCCCGATGACTCCCGTCTGCACAAGGGAGCCTGCTTGCGGAGATGAGGACGAGAGCACCGCATTGTCCAGAATAAAGCTGTCCCCGTTGGTTGCGGCTGTGTCATGGGACTGGGACATGAGGGGGGGGCTCAGGGTCTGAAGCTGTTGGGAGGATGCTAGAATGGGGATCTGCTGAATGTGTGTCTGTGACTGGCCAACCGGCTGGAAGGTCATTTGGAGGATTTGTGTCTGGCTCTGCTGCTGGGATGAGTACATCTGAAGAGGGTGCAGCTGGGGCTGGTGCTGGGTCACCACGGAGCCCGAGTGGAGGGTCAGCTGTTGGATCTGGGGCTGCTGGGACTGCTGAGCCTGCACAAACTGGACGGGCATCTGGAGCTGCAGGTGAGTTTGCTGCTGGTTGTCAACTGGCGACGGGGGGTCGTTGGAGGACAGGGCGATGGTCACTGGCACCTGCATGGTGTGGAGGCTCTGGTCTTGTCCCAGTAAAACCACCTGGTGACTCACCTGTTGGGTCATCTGGGATACTTGAGCCATGTGCCCTTCGTGGCTCAGATGATCTGCCTGCACATCCTGTCCCAGCTGGCTCACATCCCGGCTGCTGACCTCTGCATGCTGGGGCCCTGGCAGCTCCAGCATGGAGGCCGGGGTTGTTATGAGGGCACCCGCATTGGCTGCAAGAGCCTCAGCTATTAGCACCTCGGGGTGACTCTTCGCCTTATGGGCCACCACACAGTCCTTCTTCTCAAACTTCTTGCCGCAAATCGAGCAGGCAAACTGATAGGTGGCATCGGCATCGTGCTTCTTCATGTGCCAGTTGAGAGAGGCCTTCTGGCGACACGTGAAGCCACAGATTTCACACCTGTGAGGGACAATTGAATTTACTTAACTGATAATGGAGAAATCCTGGGAAAGCAAACAAGCAATAATTGTGAACAGAGCACTCACTGCAGCGGCTTCTCTCCTGTGTGGATCATGCGATGCACAGCCAGGTTGTGGGAGCTCTTGAAGGCACGAGCACAGAACTCACAGATGTAGTCCCTCTGATCTAGAACAACAAAACAATCAAATATAGATGTGTTCTCCATAGACTTTCACTATCAATTATAAATAGAACCCAATGCATGTTTTATGTTTATAGTGTAGATGTACCTGTGTGGTGCTTTGCGTGACGCAGCAGCTGCTTCTGGAGTCGGAAAAGCCTTCCACAAGAAGGGTGAGGACAGACGTATTTCTTCTTGAGCAAGTGCTGGTACTTTATATGGTGCTGGTGTTCAGAAAAATGTATATTAATAAACAGGAGGTTGGAGCGGTGAGCAGAAAGAAAACAGACCAACAAAAATGCTTTAAGTTATCTACAACAGCAGGTATGGCTGAATAATCAGATATTTGTATTTATTTATTGGTAGAATCAGAATATGTTGTGCATTATTTAATAATTGATAATTGGATCTTCTATTCTCTAATAAAACAATTAAGTAAACACTTTCCCAGAGAAGTACTTCAAGTGCTGAAAATAATTAATTAAACAAAATATTATTAAATTTATCATTGATCAACTGTCCAACTGGGATGGACATTTGACCTATTTTCAGACATTTTAGGGACCTCAACAATTAATAATAAAAACAAATAAGTCTATATTATAAAAACTGTATGTGAAAGCTCTAACCCCTATTTAAGGCAATTAAATAGTTTGAGTCGTTCCACAATTGAGTTTGGTTGCCAGATGCTCATTCCCATCCCCCTTTCTGGTAGGTTTCTCTAGATGTTGTGAATCCATGTTATTTTGTGTTGAGGCACTTGAAATAGTACCGTTTTTGTGTACTTAATGTGCATGGACTCTGCCTTATTGTGTTCAGAATAATTTTTTAACTGTTTTTGAATAAGCTTCTGTAGGAATGTGTTGTTGAGAGACAGACCTGTAGGTAGCGAGGATGAGCCAGGACAGTCCCACACCCTTCCATCTCACAGCGCACGTACTGCACCGGGGGCTTCTTCCTGTGGGGGTGAAGCACATGTCATTGCGATGTCACAGCTAAAACCAAACATTAAATGGATCTTTAAATCCTCATTGACATCTCAGACATCCAAAATGTCTTCCTCACTATGTCATTCATCAATCACTACGATATGCTTTATTTCTGGATACAATTATGACAGGCAGTCCCTTACGATGCTCTGAAACAGACATCGACTTTACCTTCTCTTTGGCAGCCGTGGGGTTTTATCGTCTTTTTTCCGTCTGCCTCTCCTAAAGGAAAAGAAAATTCAAAGTTGTGTAGCAATAGAAAACCTTACATTACATTAAGACTTTACATGCACAATTAAAGGTGGGGTAGGTAAGTTTGAGAAACCGGCTCGAGATACACTTTTTGTTATATTCCATGGAATGCTCTTAACATCCCGATAGCAATGAATATCTTAAGTGCTTTGACAAAAAATCCATACAAATATTTCATCTGTGGAAGCCGTAGTACTGTAAAAAGCACGACCAATCATTTTAGCCGGCCCGGCTAAAATAACTGGATGGCCTACCTGCCTGTCAGCCTTCCATCTGTGCACAAACTGATCTTGTGCCCTCATTGGTCATGTGCGTGTTCGTGTGTGTTGGAGGAGGGGCTCTGTAAGGAAGTGGCAGATTTTTTCCGGTTGTATATTTTCAAATTCTAGCGATCTTGAGCCGGTTTCTCAAACTTACCTACCCCACCTTTAAACGTAGATATGGTTAAAGTTCCTGACAATCTGTTCTATTAATAACTTGTGCTTACTTCCTGGGTCCATCCGGGTCCTCCAGTACTTCTTCCTCTAGCTTCACTTCCTCTTCGAAACTCTCCAAGTTGTCCGAACCTTCTATTTTTATCTCAGCAACCTCGGACTCTTTTTTAGGTGCCTTGTCTTTCTCTTTCTTCTCCTTCTGTCTAGGAGGAGCTCTGCGCTTTGGTTTAGGGACATCCCTTAGAACAGGAAAGAGGAAAGTCCAGTCAATAAACGAAAATATGGTGCCTGTTTTTGTCTAATTTGTCACACAAAGATAACACACACACCTTTCCTCCTTCGGGTCGTAGCTCTGGTCATTTAAGTCATCTGTATAAGGAAGTTCTTCATCACTGCTGAGACCCTCTGCTTCCTCTGCACCACTGTATGGATACAAAACAAGTCATTAGAAAAAGATGTCCCCACCCTCTGCCTGCACCAGGTCAAATGAATGTGTTTGAGGTAAGCGTACCTTTGACTCTGTGGCTGATAGCCAAGGTCGTCTGGGTCGTCCAGAAATGTAGGGTCTTCATCATCCAAGACTGGTACAACAACGTCCTCACTTCCCTCATCCTTATTTTTACTGAGACAGCGTAAGAGCAAAACAGAGCAGTCATCAAAACACAGCACCTCTCTCATTTTAACAACACACAAGACAGTACAGTATGCTCAGTGGGCCATAAATATACACAAACACAACAAAAATATGATCATGATATCATGATAATGCAGACTCTCCGCTGTTAAAGCTTATACATGTATGATTACAAAAACTATTCTAGTAAGTAAGTAAGACGAAGTAAATATATAATTGTATCTGTTACAGTTTGTTAATACATCTCTTAACTGTTAGTGTGTATAACTTACGACTGTTGATACAATCCTACATAATCTCATCTTTAAAGGCTCAGTTCACCTGCATAACAAAATGCAAACATTCCTACTGTGCCTAAAAACAAGTCATAACAAGTCATATGCTTTTCATTTTATCTGGTTTCTTCACGATGTATTGTGTAACCATGCATCGCTTTGCTTGGTTAACTCTTAAGCTGCTGTAATATGTAAATGTTCATGGTTTGGGATCAATATAGATGTAATTTTATCTTGATAAAACTGTTGCCTTCAACTGCAATAAATAAGTCGATTATAACAATGTTGATCAAGTGATTGTTATAAATATCAGGTCATATGTGTATTTCATATTATGTATATGTATGTACATTTAGTAAAAGATTAGAATTCATGCTCCGAGTCAAACCTTTTAACACTAACAATGTTCATTTTGTTAATGAAAAGGGACAAAAATATACTCACGTTTCACACTTGTCTTTATTCCTTATCTCTCCTTCCATTGCTGCATGACAAAGAAAGACATCATTTATTTGAGAGGCATAAAAGCATACTTTTTTACTGCCATCACTCAACCAAGTTCATGCTAGTGGAAAGGATTGCACCCAGATGTTCACCTCAAAAAGGCGGCACTGATCCCTTTAGTCACACTGAAAATCTACAAACACTACCCCTCGCATTTCAGTTAAATAGGATGTCAATGAGGGTTTTTTATGAAATAAATATTACCCAGGATAGTGAGTGAGCATGATGCTTTAGTGCTCTGCATCTGCATAATCTGATTTGTGAATTATAAACCCACATGTTGAACCATTGTATGCCACTGTCAACAGGTTTCTCACCAGCTGGGTTCTCCATCCCAGGTTCGGTCTTACACACAGGCTTGGCAGAGGCGCGCACAGCTCTGCCAGACGGGGGCTTGGCACGGCTCGAGGCTGGGGGGCGTCTGGAGGATAGAGCTGGAATGACGAAGCAGAAACATGCCATGAAACATACCGTATGCCATAATGTGTGGTGCAAGCATATGCAGACATGACATGACACACTAGAAAAGCCCAGTTCAAAATCCACTTGCAGAAGCTCAGATTTAACTTAAGTGTAGGTATAGCAAGAAACGTGACAAATTGTTTTTTATCCCCAACATTTGTCCAGTTACCTTGAGCATCTGTGGCAGGTTTATTTGGTTCCTCTGAGCTGCAAGAAAATAAGAAAAACACATTGGATTGGAAATGTTCTCTAACTGCTGAGCTAATGACAGTCCTTCATCCCATCTCTAATGCAACAATGCATGTAAAAGTAATAGCATATTAAATGTAAACATTTATAAAGCCAGGTAAGTTTCCCTCTACCCTCCCCAGGCAGAGCTTCCGAAAGGGGACGAGCTAGGCTGAAGGCGTGCTTTTTGACAGGAACTCACCCACCAGACATAAACACATACGTTTAAGTCTAGACATGTTCATGATAAACAAATGTGGTTGTATATTCATTAAGACTGTTGAATTAAAAACGTACTCTGTCCCTTGAAGGCTGTCACCTGCGACACCCCCTCCAGCCTCAGCCAAACCCGCAGATTCAGACTGTTTCTTCCGCCTCGGGTTGGAAACTTTCCTCCGCTTATTAGCACCGGTGTCCGGGCTCGGTTCGTCCTCCTCGTCCTCGCTCTTGTTATCCTTCAGCCAGGCCGGGACTGCCCTCGTTGACCGGTCTCTTAAAACTCTCCCTGAGCTCTGCGGGATCGACGCTGCTCCGTTAACGTCCGTCACTGAAGCAGAGACGCCGGACCTCGGGCGGCCCGCTCCCCGCTCTCTGAGCCCCCTCCGCGGGGTGACGTTTCTACTGGTGGCTGGGGTCTCTTCTGCGGCCTTGTCCTCCGCCGACTCTTTACCTTTATTTACGTTACCGGTTCTGTCTATCGCCGGTTCCATCTCCATGAAAACACTTCAGGCTTCTTCAATTCAGCTTACAATCAAGCCGGTTTACAAGCAATTTGAGGAAAAAAGGACAACATCTGTTCTAAAGACGGGTTGATTGCAAGAGGCCTTTATCCTACAGTGGGGCATTTTCGTCGCAAATTAAATGCATATATTTATTGATTAGAAATAGAAAACTTTTCTTAATTATCTATTCAGCAATAAACGGATACATTTTAAAGAAGCAGACACTATTTTCGCGTTCTTAAAGCTATAGTAAACCTACTTATTCGCCCGGGCCTGGAGCACAACCATTTTGTGCGCTTTGTTGCGTCTCCTTTAAGCCAAATATAAACTGAGGTTACGTTCAGGAGCGGCAACGCATTTCAGCAGCTCTACAAATCATCTGGATTTCCCTGTGTTACTTCTAGAGATCGAGTCAACCCAGCTGCGATGTTTGTAGATCTGCTAAGACAGCGGCAGCCGTGCAAAAGTGTCGCGAACGCGAACGGCTGCCGGGCATCATGGGAACTGTAGTGCAAAGTAATTCAACACACTTTATGGTGTATTTCTATATTTTTGTCATGCCTTTCTTTCTATACAACTATATGAATATAACATAATGTGTAGAGTAATCAATAACATGTCATACTACAAATAAAACATTAAGTAATATTAATATTCCAATAATGTATTTTTTTTAAATAAAGTTCCATGCATGCAGAATACTTTCCCTGCTTATTATTCCACATAAAACAATTACTATTTGATTTGATTTCCCAGTACACAGTGTGTTTCTGTTCCTGGCTAAATACATGTGTTTAATATTTCACTCAACACATGACTGTATGATAATATCTTCTTCTTGCATGTGAGAAACTCATTTTATAAGAAAGAGTAAATGTGGTTTGTTTTATACTATATCTGCATTTATTACTGTGACAGTGGAGATAACATGGCTGCCGGTGATAACCTACTCTGTCTGTGCTGTAGAGAGTTTCTGCAGGTTTTCTGATTAGGTGCATTTACCACCAGATGGCAATATTGTATTGCATGTAACACAATGTAGGCTATAACTCCACTCTTTCTGCATAGATTCTCATTAACTTGGTTTAAAAATCCCCTGCTATCTGTTTGTGTGAGAAAGTAGTTGTGGATTGGGTTATTAAAACAGTATTTTGGAGATTATATTCCTGGGACATAAACTCAATATTGCCCCATGTCTGTAAAGTTGTTATACAACACTGAATACGGAAACACAGCTGTGCATATGCTGTGCATATGCTGTGCATATGCTGTGCAAAACTACAATGTTAGGTTTTCACACAATACTATGTAATACAAGGATCAGTAGTATCAATATTGACACCAATATTTATTTTAGATTCAAATTCAACAATGCTCTATCAATTAGGGGGAAATGCACCATGCATGTGCTGCTACTGAAAACATTTTCAATAACCCTGATTGATTTGCCAAGAAATAAGCATTTTCCTATTCTTTGATGATTACCTTTTGTAAGTACACAAGATCAGCTGATGAGCTGAGCACATGCAATAGAGCTCATGTGTATAAATGACATGATTGTACTCGAGAAGGGTTCTGTTTCTTGGTATCCTACTGTTATTGCTATTGTATTAAAAATAAAACAATTCAGTTCTTCCCCCTGTAACCTTTCACCACATTGTAATGGTAAACCAGTTGGTTGAAAGGTACTCCATGTACCTGAGACTACACTTCTGCACACTGCGTGATGAAGGCTACTTGGGTCCTTAAAGGCCTCCCTGAACTCCTTGCTTGGGTACAACATGTTTCTAGAGTAAAGTTGACCCGCCACAGAGACGTTTATGAAACAATCTCCAAACACTGTGGTGTCTCTCCGCTCTCCACCATGACACATTGCTTAATAGTAGCTGTTGTACAAGGTCAGGGATGGGTTTCCATTGACAGAGGTCGGAGTCAAAGTCCTCTGCCTCTGGACCTTTCAAAAAACTTCTGACCCTTTTTTGCACTTTGTAGTTATGCGCTTTAATCTAAAACTAAGCTGGCTGACATGGTTTAGTCAGATTCAGGGGAATATAACTTAAAGGTTTCCTATTATGCAAAATGCACTTTTTTATGTCTTTTATACATAAATATGTGTCCCCTAAAACCTTCTCTCTTTTCCTCCGTGCCCAAATCTCTAAAAACGGGGGTACAACGGAGCTGATCCAGATTTGCGTCTGATATGACCTAATATCGGAAATGTGGGCTGGCTTTACACCCACGGCCCTGTCAGAAACGTCTCTATCAGAAACAATGCACGACGTGTTTTGGAAGTAATATGGTCTTTGTTTACATGAACATGATATGGCGTTTAATCACGGCAGCATTTAGCTGGGCATCTACTTCTCTCTCTCTCTCTGTGCAGCTCTGCGGCATGTGTGCTCCAAAGGGGGCGTGGCCCCGTAGCTACTGACCCTGAATCAGCACTTCTCTAACAGGGCTGAAATAGAGGGGTATGAGGCATGGCTAGAATGGGTGATCTGTTTGGTATTTTGAGCAAAACACTTCATAGACATGTTTTTTATATATTTGTATATATCTGAGACCTATAATATATGCCTAAAAATAGTATAAAAGGAGAGCTTTAAGACAAACAAAATGAATAACAGCATTGCATCCTTTTGAAAATGCTTTATTTATCTACTTTATCGCTATAAATATAACAATACAGAACAAGCTTTTTTTTAAACAAACCTTCAGATAGAAAACAGTCTGCAAAGGTCTACAAAGGTAGAGCAAAGGGCACATCTTGGCAATAAGGCACACACTATAGGAAAAGTTAAAATGGTAACACCTATGTTAAACAAGGCATGTGTAGGTCCATGCCACAGACACAAGAATTCCTCCTGCAGCTGTGGTGTGGGTGAAATGCAGGCAATAGAAAGTAAAGCAGGCGTTTTGAGTGGGAGGCAGAACCAGAGGGACACAATTCCCTGCCGTCTAACACATTTGTTAGTTTAGATGGCTGTCAAATCATGATGAGACCTTTAACAGTTCAGCAAAAACTGACATGCACCAACAGCTCAAAGGGCCATGGGCTGTAACACTGCAATGGACCAGATTTGGTTGAAACTGATAAAATGTTGCTAAAATAGAAGGCCTCTGTGTTCCCACTCATAACACCAAATCCAGTACAAAATAGCATTTAGAATATTACAAATGACAAAAACACAATAACCTTGAATGGTTTAAAAAACTATTGGACATTTTGGCAAAAAATGTTTTTTCTTCTACTTTTGTTACTCTGACATCCCTAAACAATGTGTAAATAAAGAAAAGAAATATGCTTTAGAATATATTATACCTTTTCTTCTCACTTCATAGACAAAACACGTAAATGCATATATTAAATATATCCTGACTTAATGTCATCATACAAGAAAATAACAGTTATCAGCAATTTGTTTTTTACGTCAAATCCAGTTTTAGAGGAGTAGGGAAGCCAAATGTAGAGGATGGAGTGAGATGAGACAAATATATTTTGTTTGCCGTGCATATTATTTTCGTTATTTACCTCTTCGACATCAAACTTGGTCATGATCCAAGCTTTCTTCAGAGTAAAAGTAATTACATTGTTTACGCTGTAAAATATAGTAAATATTATGAGGAGATGATGAAAATAAGCACATACAATTCAAACAACGAATAAAACATTTGGAATGGAAAATTAAAAACTACCTAAACTGGTTTACACATACACATTTCTGCATTCTCTTATATAAAGGTTGTGGAGTGTGACTTCATAATCAGCAGATGCTTGCATCCTTTGCCTTTGTGTGTTGTAGCACAAAAATGCATGGCTACTTCTATATTTCAGCGTGAGGTATTGTTCCAGTTATTCCCAGTCCAACATTACACTTGTTTCCAACACACTGCAGAGTTTAAAAAGTGCCTACGAAACCTTCATTAGGGTTATTTTAATGCTTAATCCACAAGGGAAAACTCTGTCACACATACAGTAATTGAGAAACGCCAAACTAGCCCAGTTTACACATTATTTCATGCTCAGTATTTAATATCTCTTCATATGAAAGTTGCAATCTCTTGCCTTTTATAAATACGTTTAAGTGCACCTAGGTCAAGCACAGTTTGGAGGACGAGAAATAAAGATGAGACGGACATGCGGAGTGTTACTGCAGGAGCCTTCAGAGAGGAGACTACAGGAGAGAAGTCTGCAGAGACTGAAACACACTTCACCACAACACAGTATTACCAAAGCATTGGACACATAAATGGAGAAAACTGCAGTCCGTGAGTCCTTTCTTTTGTACCAACCACAGGGGCTTCACATTGTTGTTAAAGGCACAGTGGAAAGCACAAGGTGGCATCGTCTACAGATGTAAGGCACTGAGGAGCTTTCTGATATCAGAAGACTGGAGCGATGTAGCCTGATGTTTTTTTTGGTTAGCATTGGCAAATGCAGGAGCGCTTTAAGTGGCAGTGTTCCAGTCCACACAGGAGAATATCTCTCATTTCTGTCCATATTTGTTCACCTTTCAAAAGTCAAACAATTCAAAAACTCAATAATAAAGATGTGTGTAAATTAAAGAAAAAAAAAAAACTAACATCTGTTCAGTCCCCTTTCAACAAACTTTGTGAGCATGGGAAACTTCTCCATGTACATGGTGTCGCTGTCTATCAGGCTGACTGTATAGATCACTCATGTTGAAAAAGCTTTCCAGTTTTCTTTCTCTAGTATTTGTTCCACAATGAATCACAATACTATTATATAACTGGCAACATTTTCTTCAAACAAACCAAGATAGGAGGAGTTTCCAAAAGTTAAAGAGAATACATAAAAACAAGCTTACTAACTATAGGCAAAATATAACATTTAAAAACCTTCATTTAAAACATTTAAAACACACAAAATACTAAATAAACCAAAAAGTACAGAACAGGCATGTTTGAAGCTCACACATTCAACCAGCATGGACGGACAGCATCACCTACAGCTTGTAGAGTTGGCTAAAATACTATATTTGAATGAAAACAGAATATTAGTAGGCCTATATCCAAGAACAGTTATCTTAGTGGTATCCTTTCTTGTCAGTAGTTCCTGTTGTACTTTTACTTTCTTTCAATTAACTTTTCTTTCTTTTCACCCCCACATGTTTACAGTTAAAAAACAAATATGTAAAGCTCTATCTTTCCTGCTTCAGAGAACAAAGACCACTCCATTAATTAATAAGAGAAGCCTACAGAGAATAAAAGTAATTTTCTCTTCATAAATACTTGAATGTACCTTCAGTGTTTGGCGGGTGTCAAAGACAGAGAGAAACTCATACTGATGGTTGTCTTTATGAGTTAATGCTTATCGTGGGAGGATGGTGCAGGTAGGTTTCCTCAGTGATTAGACTGTTCTCTATGTGTGTTATAAGACAGTAATGATGCATAACTAAGCCAGTCATATGGTTGCCTTGTTTCCAATACATACTTAGACCAGGACAGATATGAGATGTCATTGTTTCTGTTTTCTAAATATATGCTTAAAATTCCTTTAGAGCTTTTTGATGTTCACGAGTTCAAGAGATGTGTCTGTATGATGGGACAGACGTTGGGTTGGTGGTTCAGTCACAGGCAGGGTATCTTTGATGTTTCATATGTCTGACCCTCCGACTCAATATGTCTGGTAGACATCGTGGAGGGGCAGCTGGAAGGCTGTGGCGGGGAAGGCCTGAGGCATTGCGTAGCCGGCGTATCCTCCGTACGCCGCGGCCGCCACCGCGTTCTTCTGCAGAGCGGCCAGAGCTGCCGAGTTAGCAGCGTAGTTTGTGATGGGGACGTATCCGGCTCCGTACAGGCCGGCCGTCGGGATGCGCTGCACGTTGTGGGCCATGGCGTAGACAGGAGTGATAGGACGGCCCTGAGAAATGCAGAAAAGAGGAAAGGAGGACTATATTGAATAAGAGGATTACTAAACCATTTAGTACATTCTTTATTAAATTAATGCATTCAATTGTGAGTTCTACATTTAAAAAGTCAGACATAAAGCTCCCAAAGTACAAATACAGTACATAATGTGTCATGTAATCTGTGGTGTTACGTAACTAATATTATTTTATTCCACGGCATGTTATTTGACGCTTAAATATAAGTTGCATTGTGGGTAATGTAGGCGCGTGGTATTGCCAAAGGTGATATCTTTGTTTCCGATGCAGCCAATTTGTTACTTTTTGATACTGGCTTTTGACTCCACCAATGGTACAGTGCAAAGTCTATGGAGTACTCTTTTAAGCTTAATGAGTTATTGTGTGTAAAATCAGTTCTCTACACTTTATGATGAAGTACCCATGCGGCCTGGTTTACTGCATCAAGTAACATGCCCTGAGCTGAACGTGGAGATTTAACATCTTTATCCAATCATATTTACGAATCAGTAACAGTGTCATTGTGCACACCTGGAAAGGAGGAGGGGTAGATACCGCAGGGAGGATGCTGTTAGCACCATTAGCGCTGTTGTGGTCAGCGTGTTGCATGGCCAGAGGGTTCATAAGGTGCTCAACCGCGTGCACCTTCCCATCCTCCATCAGCTTGGCTGTAGGAGCCGTGCTGAACATGGGGTACTGCCCCCCCAGAGTCTGCATTCCCACTGCAAAGAGAAACAATAATGAGAGCTTGGATAACAGATGGGACCACTGCAGACAACATAGTAAAGCAAAGTAGTTTTTTTGTATGCCTTTTACAATAAAATAAATAAAAGGTCAAACATGGACCAAAGCTCAAACAGACACAGGTATACTTAGATTTGAAGGAAATGTACAAAAGGAGTGCCTGCTAAAACACTGAAGGTTGAAGGAAACAATTAAGTCAAGAAGGGGAAAAAATAAGTTACACAAGTTGGAGTTGGGGTGTGATTCGGATTATAATGGTGCTATGGATTAACCTCAGTGCTCCAACACATACCCACACACCAAACATACACACACACAGAGCGAACACAACGTCAGTCATTGTTTCAGATGGACAAAGGTATTTTTAATCTGACCACACAGTCCTGGACTAACACTAAACTCCAGATTAGATTTAAATCAAATATTTTCAGAAAGAGCATCAAGAGTGTCCACTTTACTAGGGACCTCTGAACCCCAAATATATGCCATAAATATTAACAAAAAGTTCAATATTTAAAGTTATGTTACAAATATCTGGTAAGTATAGTTGCTTTTTTGTTTGGTAATAAGCTTGAAGATGAAATAATAATACCACTGTGTGAATTTGAACATTGCACTGCTATCATTGAAGTTTCTACATTTGAATATTCTACTTTCAATTTTGAATGTAGTTGATCCTGTTTTAGCCTTATATGAGTTGGGTAGCTTCTCCCTCATTGGTACAAATATGCATTTCCTTCTGCTTACCTTCAGGAAAGAAAAAAGAACCAGGAAACAAACCTTTAAAAAGAAGCCATCTAACAGAAAACCACTTGACAGCAATTCATTTCCGCCTCTGTTTTACATAGTAGACCACATATTTAAAAAACTAAACGATGCTGATGTTGATTATGTAGGCTTAATGTATAAGCAGTGGAGGACACTGGTATTATCTTTCAAGTGAAAATAGTAGACGTGATTGAAAAGTTGAGAAAGGTAATTTTTGTTTGTTCATTTGGATTCACATCTCAACTCCGTTCTTGACTGTAAGTGTCATAGTGCCAACAAAGCCTGAAACAGCTGCTCCTACAGAGACATTTTCTTAACTTGTTGAGGTCAAATTGTGAATTTGACAAGCTAACACTTTTTGGGATAAATGTTTGTTTTACATTCAAGACACGGTCAGCCACTTTTCAGTAAAAAACTGGAGTTGAGTTGCATGTGTTAAAGGAGATTGGGTTGTTCACCACATACGTCGGCCATGTTCAGACAGACAACAGCACTGCATTAGAAAACGTTCCCATTCAGTTCAATGCAACCACTGCATTGGGGGCGTCAAAAGCGCTTTAAGACAATAAATATTGTCTCATCTTGCACATAAATCAACTTTTGCCCCGACAAAATGCCATAAATTCTGGCAAAGTTCTGCGTTGGCCAATCAAAAAAACAGGGGGCTGGGTTTTAGCCTCTGATAGCTTGATATTTCATGGTCTCAACAGTACACCCCCAATGACGTAGCGCCTTGTGTTATTCTAACACAGTGCTGCTTTTGGTCTGAACACCAGGTAAGAAAAATTTGAGAGGAAAAAAGGACAGAATGAGGAACAAATCATAGCAGTTACTTTCTGGTCATGCTGGAAAGGACAGATATTTAGTGTCGTAGTTCTTAAGGGTAAAAAGAAAGGAAGTCCTTTTGCGCCTGACCATCCAGCAACAACCATGATCAAGTGATTTACTAAGTGTTCCTCAAACCACACAGGAGAGAGAGACAAGAAATTACGAGCTGGAAGGTTTAATAAAGGCGTTTGAGATGGGCAAGGATGTATATATCTATCTCACTGACTTGTGCCAGGTTTCATGCCAATGGAGTTGACAGAGGCAGCAAGCTCCAGACTGGGCATCAGCTCATAGGGCTTGTCGAGCTTGGCTTTGCCCTCATGGTAGCGGCTGTAGATGCCACGACCAGCAGAGTAACCTCCCAGGTATGACCCCCGTGGCCCAGGGGTACGGTTACCTGAAGCAGCACGACCACGACCTCGCACAGTACCTGCTTAAAATACAATTAAAGTAATATGTTGACAGGGGTTGTGGTTTAGGACTTGGGCAATAAGGGCAACTTGTACTGAATTTTTGAAGCGCAACAATATTTTATGATGGGTTCAGAACTTCTTTGAGAATTCCTCCCAAAATATAAGGACTGCTTCAGCAAGAAGAGCTCTTATTTAAGGTAAATATCTGCTCAAGAAGTGCAGTTGCTACCGGAAATGTAAACAATATCTGTTTGAGTTTAGGGTAACTTTGCGTTTTTCCGCAGCAGTGATCTGACTCTTAAGTTCATGGCACTGTCAAATGTTTTGTCAATGTTCTTAGCTTTATTGAAATCTCTGCAGTAACCCAGCATGAAATGGGAGTTGACAGCACAGCGGGAAAAGAATGGTGTTAGAAAACATATAGTTTGTCACATGGCAAGAAAGCTCATTGTTCATTGAAGGGATAAGTAGGAATAAGGATGAGAGAGATTACCATTGTTCTGTATCATTGGGGATCCTTTGGAGAGAAAACCAAAACACAATGATTGTTGAAAGTCGAATAGATTTTCCTGCTGCCACCCAAATACCATTTATAATCATTCATCAACGATAATGGGATTAGCATCATTGGCCCATCACCTTATTTTGTCTTTGTCTTATTAACAACAAGTCACAAACCCTTATCAAGTTAAGATTTTAAAACTTTCATCAAATAAATTCTAGTCATCAAAGATAAAATCACTATTATCTTAGTCATCATGATCATTTACAAATCATAGCTAATTTATAAAGGTGTGTTTGTCATTGATCCTACAATAGCATCTCTTGGATGTCATCATGAGATCTTTAGCAGTGCATTGGTCCACAGAGTTTCTGCCACCAACTTTAACATATAAAGATGGCTTTCAGAAAAACTAAGTGGCTTTTGCAAATTATCACGACTGATACAAAAAAGCAATTCATTCTAACCTTTGACAAAGTAGTCTCTGTTGGGTCCAATGAGGGTGTTGTATGGGTAACCGTAGTAGGCCAATGTGTAGGGATCACACTGGTAGACGTAGTTCTGTGGAGCCGGCTCTGGAGTGGCTGGAGCTCCCTTGGAGGCTTTCTGGCGAGAGTACTGCTCTTTATCAACAGGCTTGGCGAGAGTCACCTCGATGCAGGACCCCTCCACCTCTGTGCCATTGAGGTGGTCCATGGCCACGACAGCATCGTCTCTGGAGGTAAAGTGGACAAAGGCGTAGTCACGGATTTTCTTCACTCGTTCAACGCATCCAGCATTGAACTGGTTGAACACCTGATTGACAGAGACAATGAGTGATTGGTTAATGTTTTCTATTAGTAGTATATTTCCTGTAATGTATGTTCTTTACCCAATAAAACCCTGCACCGAGAAATCCCTAAACTGAAGTCCCACCTGTCTGATTGTCTCCTCGCTGGTTTCCATCATGAGATTCCTGACGTAAAGGATCTTCACTGTCTCCATTACGTCTTCGTCCACATCGATCTCCGGCTCGGCCCAGTCGACTGCGATCTGGTGGCCCCAGAGCTGAATACGCCCAGGCATCAACTTCCTGCGAGCCATGGCGGCTGCACGGTGTGACTCATACTCTACAAAAGCAAAGCCTCTGTTCTTCATCTTGTCTGCAGCGCTGGCATAAACTATCACGTCCAGCACCCCTTCTGTCACTTTGGAGACCTCCTCCAGGATCTCCTCACGCTTTTTGGTCTTTGGGATGCCACCAATGAAAAGACGGCAGTTGTCCACGGAGGAGCAGACCCCCAGCAGCCGCCCCGGCCGCACTTCATAGTTGTTGAGCTCACGCACAGCACGCTTGGCCTCGTGTTTCTCTGTGTACATCACAAACGCGTACCCTCTGTTCTTCCCGTCAAAGTCCATCATCAGCCGCATCTCATAGATACGCCCTACGGACTCAAACACAGGGACTAGCTCATCCTCATAAACGTCACGTGGGATCTTGCCCACAAAGATTTCACACCCCCGTGGTGGAGATGCAGCATTCCAACCAGGAGGAGGGCCATATTTACGCTGACCGTTTTCCTGGACCATAGTGTAGCCGGTGCGATCCATCAGGGTGACCAGTGCAGCCTCATTGGGAGCACCTGCAACTCCCTCAGGGACGTTGAGTTGTCCATGGAGAGGGTTGTGTGAGGCTCCGGCAGGCTGGGAGGGTTTGGGGGGGGCAGCGTTGTTGCTCATGGTTGACGAGGAAGCAGGATCTTCGGCTGTCATTCTGACAAAACCATCCAATCAGATCTGGGGCCTGAAGAGGGCAAAGAGAAACAGGTTTATCAATTACAGTCAATTGTATCAACCACAACTTATATCCAAGACGTAAACACAAGAGGGAAGAATAAAAGAAAACCTGGTAGTGTTCAGAATTAACCTTTTACAACATGACTGTACCAACAATAATTGAGCTGCTTGTTGAATCTAAAAGGTAATCAGTATGCAGACGCAATCACACGCAAGATTAACTAGCTTACAAAACGAACCAAAGGCAAATAATGCGATTGGACAGAATGAGGAAAATACAGCATCTATAAATCCACAGGGGCACCTTCCCCTATCAGTGGTTTTACAACCTTGTTTTGTTGAGTTCCTCAGATCCCTTGCTGATCACTGACCCCTATCAGAGAGAATGAAGGGCTGTAAACCCTGAAACCTCCAGCTCAAGGTTCACTGAGTATGACTGGGTCACATGCTCATTGTGTGCGTGTATGTGTGTGTGTTTATGTGTGTGTGTGTCAGCAGTAAGTTGGACATGTTGGAGTTGAGCTAGATGAGGAATCCTGAGTAAAATATGACCCCACTTCATGCTGTGACAAAAGCTGTGCACATTAATCTATGGTGCACATGAACCTGACGCACACTCACCACAAGAGGGTGTTGGACTTTCAACTTCTTTATCATGAGTGTTATAGAGTGTGTGGGTGCAGCTTGTTTTGTGTGTGTGTGTGTTTCGGTGTGTGTGCCTCTTCATTAAGGGTTATAATAGGAACAGGGAACAATCAGAAATCGGCTTCCAGAGAATAAACCTCTTACTCTCTTATTTTCCCACATTGCCAGCATTCAGAACAGAACAATCCGCAGCATTTTAAATCCCCAAATCTCTACGCTGCATACAACACTGAGGCAGCCAATCACAGCACACTACAAAGCAAACTAGTTTTGTCAGATTAAAGGTCATGTTAGTAGAAAGACTAAATAAAAAAGCACCTATTTCTAGTTAGACAGGCAGTGTGTGGGCGTGTTGGTGCGTCACAAGATTGCCTGGACTTTGATGGAAATAGGTGAGGCAGCCAACAAAGGTAACGCTACTAAGCCTAGCAACCATGGTAACGCACTCACTCATTTGAGTTGACCCAATATCCCACTCTCCCACATAGACACACACAGATGGACAGACACACACCTGTACACATGTTAGTTTCCCCAAGGCTGGAGGGCTTAGAATGACCTGCACCTCGTCCACAGTGGAACAAAAATGATGCCAATGTCAGCTTGATGGAATAAAATGACTTGAAAATATTTTAAAAATGTGTTGTTGACATAATGTACACATTTAAATGTCATGTTCCTGGTTGAAGCACACTTATTATTCATGCATTTATTGATATGTACAGGACAAAAGGTCAAAACATGGGCAAAGTTGAAAAAAACTGCAAAGACCAAGAGAGCGGAAAGCCAGGAGGTTGTTTCCTCCTTCTATCAATAGCCGGTAGTTTCTCACTGCATGTTGACATAGGTCGGGATGACATTAGAGCATATAACACATTAATTTTGCCAGAGCTTTTGAGATCTAGTTTGTAATAACACGTCCTGAGGATACAGTGTTCACCACTCAAGATTTTCCAAATGGCCAACGGATTTGTATTCCTTATGTCAGTGTTGCTTTCCCTGTGCTTCCACAGCTCAACATGCCCTCCCTCTGTTCCTTCTATCGTGTGAAGTGCTAACATGACTCCATCTCTTATCAGCCTTATCTCGCCAGACTGATGACAAAGGGAGGACAATATGCGCTTTGGGAGTTCTGCTCTGTGATAAAAGAAAATAAGCTATGTGACACTCTGAGGTCAACACTGTGTAACAAAGTTAGTTTAGAAATCTTTAAAAAATAAACCATTATGCTTGTGTGTGCATAATGCAGAGTACATTTGTAATATATGTAATGTAAATATAATATATGTATTGTTACGCCTTAGTGTTGGGGTTCCCTACTTCCTGCTTTTGACCACTTGGAGATATTCCTAACTTCCTCAGTGCGGCCCACTGTTGTGCTGAGGTTTTCCTTTTCTAGGAGAGACTCAGGAAATCACAACCCCAAGCGAAGCAAAACTTAGAGGGTCTGTTATAACCTCTCTTCCCTTGCACAATATAAAGAAATGAGAATAGTCAGTGTGCGTATGTGTGTGTGTGTGTGTGTGTGCGTGCGTGTGTGTGTGTGTGTGTGTGTGTGTGTGTGTGTGCGTGTGTGCGTGTGTGTGTGTGTGTGAGAGCAAGCAAAAAAACGGAGGCAGCAACCTGTAGATGATTAACTGTGACAAACACAAATCACAGCCTTTACTCAGAGACAGCCTAAAGACTTAAAGTTGACGTCTCAGTTATTATTAAACTAGATTGTTAGAAAGAAAATTGTAACTAATGTGTGTTTCCTCTATCCTAATTAAACCGCTTTGTTTTCAGCACAGCAGGAAAAGCTAGTAGCTAGGGGAAAGCATAACCTGCACAGACAATCAGATCGCGAAACGCATTCACCTGGTCAAAGGTTATAAAGTCGGAGATGTACAGGGAGGTAGAGAGCGAAGATTTGATTGGGTAACAGCGCCATCCTGCCGGGTTAAAGTGTTCCAGTTATTGCTGAGGAGATTGTCCATTACATTGTGTTTATGATTGATAGAAGCACCTGATTCTCTATGTATTAACAGCGGGTTATTGGAGACTGAATTGCTTTATGAGCAGGCAAAAAGGCTTTTACTGGCTTCCTCAGGATTATACGGTCAGCACAGATTGACTACTGCTGGCAAATTCCATCTCTCTTCTTTGCATTATTAAAGTTCCTCACAAGTAGAAAAAGGAAGAAGACCTGACATTAAATCAACACTGCTATCATGTTTTTATCTTATTCAGAAGTTTGAAAACCAACAATTCTGTCTTTCACTCTCAATGTAAGGCAGATTATGCAGCAGCAAAGAAAGCCAGAGTGTGGTTTCAATGTGTCTTTGGTTTGATGTTATATTCTAAGTGACACTGATCCAGAAAAAAACAGGCCACTAGGAAGCCGCCATCTTAGCTGTGTGCGCACGCACATGGGCAAGACTACCCAGAAGCCCCTGACAACATGGTCACAAGGCAACAGGATGGGATCAATGAAACATCAACAATTACAAATGCAAAATCTGCTGTTTTAACACATCACACACATGCAAACACTTTTCAAGCCTCCCTTCAAATTTCAGACAAAATGTATGGACATAACTGTTAAATGATAATCTTTAAAGAGTCTCATTGAAGAGTAAAGAATCCCTAAAATCCAAAAACAGTCACAGAGAGAGAAGGAAGTGAGAGTGAAACAGAGCAGAGGAGGATCTCACAGCAGAGGGATGTTGGTGGAGGAGAAGAGGAAGGAGAAGGAGGATATAGCTACCCTGTTGCTTCACAGCGCTGCTCTGGGAGTGTTAGTCCACCTCCATGAGAGGCAGGTACAGCAGGGCACTGAGCACAGGGGCCAGCCTCCTCTACACACACACACTCTCACACTCACACACACACACACACACACACACACACACACACACACACACACACACACACACACACACACGCACACACACACACACACACACACACACACACACACACACACACACACACACACACACACACACTGAGCCAAAGCATTAGAGCTTGTGAAGGAGGAGCTAAAGCACATACTGTGTGTGTGCCTGTGTCTGTGGGCAGAGCCCAGCCCTACCTCTCAGGAAGTTTAGGGGAAACATTTTTAAGTGTTGAATACACAAACACATACACATAAATCACAAAAGTGGAAAGTAATTAGGTAGTCATACATAAATGTTTCAATTGTATGCAACGTTTCGCTTATTATTGTACAAATAGTGTAGGCCTATTTTTAAGTCCACTACATTTATCTGACAACTAGTTTCTTTTCAAAATGTACATGTTTAAATAAACGTGATTATTTGTTTAACATTAAACAAGTGATTCCCAAACGTTTTGCCTTGTGACCACTGGATTCAAATTATTTCACATTATCTCAGTCACAGGGGACATTTTCTTTTTCTACATTTACTTTTGATACTTTTCTGAAAACTTCTTTGACCCCTGATAAATACACAAAGTAGCTGTTGCACAAAGCTGCACATCTTCACTCTGTAACTAATGAAGGCACAGTGGGTGGTAGGAGTGGGAGGAGAGGAGGCTAATGGGAAAAGTAGTTTTCAAAGGTTTTCAGGGTTTTCTGCTTAGAGTTGCAGAAATTGCCCAAAAATGTCAGGAAACGGTCAGCCGGGGTTTTAATACTTCCTCATGTTATTGTCTTACTCTGAGCGGCATTTGGAAATTCTGACTAGGAGTAACCACTAGAGTGATTAATGTCATGTCAGCACAAGACTACAACTGTGTGTGTGTGTGTGTGTGTGTGTGTGTGTGTGTGTGTGTGTGTGTGTGTGTGTGTGTGTGTGTGTGTGTGTGTGTGTGTGTGTGTGTGTGTGTGTGTGTGTGTGTGTGTGTGTGTGTGTGTGTGTGTGTGTGTGTGTGTGTGTATTCGGGCATGCACATGTGTTTTTTGTACATAACAACGGTGAACATGCTCCTAGCACAGCTTAACTTAACCAAACAACTCACACCTTCCTGGGCAGCCAAGAGAGCAGATAGCGAAGCGGCAGAGAGAAAACGTCACTCGCTCAGTTTCTGTCCAAAAAAACTCCCCACAGTGTTATGGAGAAAAAAGCAAGAAAAGAGGGAGTGAGGGACAGAGAGAGCAAATGGGGTAAGAGGGAGAGAGATGAAAGTCACAGTGGGTGGTCAACAGTGCGCTGAGTTTCAGCTGCTATTGAAACCAGCCCCACTCCTTAACGACTGAGCAAACAGGCAAAAGAAAGTCTATTTAGCATAAAGACCAGAGAACGATGGAGAGACACAAATGATCGAGACCTTTAATCAAGAGCCAATTATAAAAGTGTCAAAACCACTACGAAGATATTAGAAGGAGTGAAATACATCACATCACAAGTCACATTTCAT